CCCCCTTCCTTCTCTACTTCCTTCCTTCCTCCTCTCTTTCCCCTTCCTTCTTCCCTTACCTCTCCCCTACTCCTACCCTCTCTCTTCCCCCTTCCTGCCCTCTCTCTTCTCTTTCTCTCCCTTCCACCCTCCTCTCCTTCTCTTTCTCTCCCCCCTTTTTAAACATATTTTTATTAAACAGTTTTTTTTTTAAAAAAAAGACATTTTTTTTTGCAATTTCCTTCTGTGCAACATTTCCACCTTGGTATGCATCCATTGTAAATGTATTTCTCTAATTTAATTCAAAAGAATTAAAAGCAAAAGAAGAATCTGCATATTATTCCCTATGGGATTGATGGTATAATTGGCTAGTCCAGTGGTTCTCAACCTTCCCAATGCCGCGACCCCTTTAATACAGTTCCTCATGTTGTGGTGACCCCCAACCATCAAATTGGTGCCTCGGTTCCTAAGACCATCGAAAATATGTGTTTTCCGGTGGTCTTAGGTGACCCCTGTGAAAGGGTCATTTGACACACACACCCAGGAGGGTCCCGACCCACAGGTTGAGAACCGCTGGGCTAGAGGAAAGGCGGGGGAAGCAGGAAAGCAAAAAAGAAAGGAAGAAAGATCAACAAATTAATAAACAACTACAGAACCAGAAAATGATTAAAAGATAGAAATACGAGATAGACTGTAGCGAATAAATAATAGGAAAGGGATATAAAACAAGTCAAATCTAATAAATTTCAATTTATTAAATTTATATGCTGCCCTTTTCCCCCGAAGGGGACTCAGTAAAGATTGTAATATATAGAATATATAGAATGTTATATATAGAATGAAGAAAAAAGATGTATGAAATAATATAAATGCACACACACAAACACACACACATGTTATACAAGACTTAAATGTACAGATAAAATAATCACAACAGATATGTGTTGCAAAGATGTGAAGTTTGCATAAATAAAATAAAAAGCTTTAAAAAAAGGTAAATGTACTTCCCCCTCCTTATTTCAGTTTTTCTTTGTTTAGACATATGCTGCTATTATATACATTTCTTAATTTACAACCTTCATTCCCTTTATACATGTTTATTCATCTCTACCTACACACTGCTCATTTCTAACTCNGTAGCCTGCAGTGCTGCATTTAACCACTGCGCCACCTCGGCTCAATTTATTTTGCCATAAGGGGGTCAGTCCTGCTTTGAGGATTAAGCGTTGTGTTTGGTTGATATTTTTGAAATGGGAGCATCGAGGATGGGGAATTACAACTTCTGTTTCCACCACGATTGTTTGTTTCAGAATTCTTTGAGAATATCAAGAATAGGATGTTTTACGGATAGAAAAGAAGATTTGTAGCTCAGGATTGAACTAGAGAGAGTTTGGGGCTTTCTGAGCTTAGCTGTTTTCTCGCAGACATTTAATGACCCAACTAGGTAACATCATCAGTGCTAGAAGGGAGTGACGAGGAGGGCAACTATGGGAAAGGGATTTGTGGAGAGGAGGAAGAGGAGGGGAAGGAGAAGGAAGGAGAAGAGAAGGGGAAGGAGAGAGAGGAGAAGGGGAAGGAGGGGAAGGAGAAGGAAGGAGAGGAGAAGGGGAAGGAGAGGAGGGAGAGAGGAAGGGAAAGGAGAAGGAGGGAGAGGGGAAGGGGAGGAGAAGGAGAAGAATAGGAGGGAGAGTGGAAAGGAAAGGAGAAGGGGAAAGAGGGGAAATAGAAGGAGGGGAAGGAGAAGGAAGGAGAGGAGAAGGGGAAGGAGAGGAGGGAGAGAGGAAGGAAAAGGAGAAGGGGAAGGAGGGAGAGGGGAAGGGGAAAGGGAAGGAGAGGGAGGAGAAGTGGAAGGAGGAGATGGAGGAGAAGGGGAAGGAGGGAGAGGAGAAGGGGAAGGGGAGGAGAAGGAGAAGAATAGGAGGGAGAGTGGAAGGGAAAGGAGAAGGGGAAAGAGGGGAATGAGAAGGAGGGAAAGGAGAAGGGAAGGAGAGGGAGGAAAAAGGGAAGGAGAAGAAGAGGAAATGGAGGAGAAGGATAGGAGGAGAGCAGAAGGGAAAGGAGAAGGAAAAGAAGGAGGGGAAGGAGAAGGAGGGAGAGGAGAAAGGGAAGGAGAAGGGGAAGGAGAGGGAGGAGAACTGTGGGAGCATTGGTGCTCTCTGAACTTCGTTGTTTACTTGCAGATGTTTCATTACCCAAACTAGGTAACACCATCAGTGCTAAGGAGTAGGGTTTTCTAATTGTCGTCACCAGGGAGAAGTTGAGTTTTATTGGTGTTGGTTTTTTTTTTACTATGGTTACCCCTTTGTAAGGCACTCAGAGTCGCCATGAGTGAGTTGGGCAGCCATATGCATCTTCTTAAATGAAGAAATGAGAACGTGACATGGGATTTGAGAATCAGAACATTGTTTCTTCCTTGATGTTGGTCTCCTATCTCCACCGGGATGGAATTCATTGAAGGAGGAGGTGGGGAGGAGGAGGAGGAGGAG